GTATTTTTCTTTGTCCTGCAGAATTTGCTTCAAGGTGATGACTTCTACAGGATAAGGCTCCCATCTAATGTTCTAAGTCCTCCTGGGAGGGATTATATTATCTCATTAGTGAAAGCAGTGAGTTAACCACTTAAAGGTTTTTTGGAATTCAAAACTTTTTGATCTCTCTGGTCAATTATCTTTCTCTTGAGGATTTTGCTACTATTTCATAAGCTCCTGAGCTTGTTGGTCAAATGGACATTTACTTTTCTGTTTTTGGATTGAAACGTTTTTACCATATAGTTATCTGTCAGATTTAAGGCCTTTACCAACTTATGTTCAACCAATCACAGGAGGGGGTCTCTGCAATCTGCCTTAAATTTGTTGACTACACAGCATGGCTTGAATCTGAATGTTTATTTCTTCTCACTGTTTGATCTTAGTTGCTTTTATTATGAACTCTTACTCTTAGCATTTGTCTAAAAAAAGTTGAATAATTTTCTCGTAAATTTTGATGCTATAAAAATTTAACAGTGGAAGTTAGGAGCTTTTTTGTTTGAATTTGAAACTTTAGTTTTCAAATATTAATTTAAAAAATGTAATGCCATAATGCTCTTCCATCAATTACCAAAGTATTCTAAAAATTTAATTATGCTGTCTCCATTTGAATTGGTATGGTTCTTCACCATCTTTTTGTTTAACTGCAGAGATGTCTTCCATGGGAGGGTTTGGACAAGCATTTTATCACACATGGTAATTTAGAGTTAACTTTATGTGTGGTGCTGCATCATCCCTTCCCCCTCTCCTGGGTGTGTTTGTAGGATAGGGTTTTGAGTAATTGTTCTAATTTAGTCAAACCTGTTATGAAAATTTTGATTTTTCAACTTTGGTGTGTAATGTAATGTGTAAATTTTTCTAACACTTGTTTGAAAGGGGATTAACTCTAGTTTGATATTTATCATATTTTTAAATGAAAATCATTATTTTTCCACTTTTAGAAAGACTTTTTTTGATTCAATCAATGGTAACGAGTTTCCTTTTTTTGGTGCTAACTTGCCTAACATCATAGTAAATATTTACTGCTTTGACATGCATCGAATGTTTACTTGCTCATTTCTTTTTGAGATTACCGTATGGTCAGTTTGTGTATAAAATTGGAAAATGTTATTTAGGGAGGTATATATGATGGTTGTCAGGAGATGAAACTTCCTTTTCTAGTTCTTGCTGTAGTTTGCCTGATTGTTGTTGCTCTTTTATCCCTGCTGTTGCAGGAATGTGTAAATATCTTGGCAGTCAATTATGGGTCCCCAGGGGCATGTTCATATCCTCGGCAGTTGAAATTTGTGAGTTACAGTTTATCTCTTACTTTTCTCTTGCTTCTCAGTCAGTTGAGCAAAGCAAACTACAGAGATTATAGCCTGTTGCCATTTGTTCCACTCTACAATTAGTTTAAGCAGATATCTTAAAAATGTGAACTTCCCTTTGTGTTACTACAATATCTTTTCCTAAATTGAAGTTGTTATTTTAATGTGTAATGCGTAGAGTCATACCTTGCCAACTCATAGATTTAATAGTAACTTTATATTTAATGGGTTTTATGGGATCTAAATTCTTTCTCCAACACTTGTCCTGAATGCTAGATCTACAAGATATTTAGGTCACTTTGAAGTTGCAGTTTCAAATAGCATTTCTTGCACCATACTATGGTCAATTAAGGTTCATAAGATTCAACAACTAGAACCTCATCAAGTGTACTTGCATGTCATGGCATGCAATATCTATTGTCTTCTAGTCTTTCAGAATATTTTATTCTTGCTGAGTAAAACATAGGATTGATTTTGACGTACTGATTTTGCAATATCAACTGAACTTTCACAAAGATTAAAGGTGATTTCTTGCAGTTTTAAAAGTTTTTCTCTAGTTGTATTGTAATCTATGTCCACTTTACCTATACTACAGCCTTTTAAATGGGCTTTCAACTCCCACACAGTTTTAAAGAACAGTGAGCAGGCACCAAGGTATTCTCTTAGCCATATTATTTGCTTGTTTTTGGATCTAATATTATAGCTCCTATTTTTTCTTTTTCTGATTTTTAATATTCCCAACATTATTAACTCTTTCTTTATCTTCAGTTTATTGATTAACATCTAAATAGAAGCTATTTCATGGCTTAAAGGAGAATTTATTGATTGTAAATTGCAATCTCATCCTGGTTTTTTTACTATTTCAAGAGCATAAGATATAGGTCTTTTTCAATGGACAAGTTTATTTTAGTAAATAACTTAAATGCATCCACTCCATGTCCAAGTTGATCATCATAGTATACAATTATCCATCATATTTGCAAATTCTCTATAGCGATTTTATTTTCATTTTAAGTTGCTTTTTTCAGTCTAAAAGACAAAAAGGTTGCTTTCATCATTGCCTTTTTTTTGTAGGGCTCCATATTATCAATGAAAGGGCACAAAGGCCAGTGCCCTAGATTTCTAGCAATTTAGGTTGTATCTTGCTAGTGAATAGAGTTCATTTATAGCAATTTAGGTTGTACCCAATTACAAAACTGAGGATGGAGGAACAACCTTCTATATCAGGAGCTCGTCATTCATCCAGCAGTTTTTGATCTGCAGTCTTAACCACACATCACTCTTTCAAAGAAAAATACAAGTAAAATTATACATCTGTTTAGAGAAAATAAGGGGTAATATTGGAGTATAAAATACTACATATACTATGATTAAGGATTTATTTATCTTGTGCTTTTAGGGTGCAGAATAAGTAGTAATTATTGATTAATAATTACTACTTTTTGTTTTAAAAGTGATGAAATTGATTTTTATTTAAATTGTAGATGTCATGTGTTAAGTTTTGGTTGATTTATTTTAAATTTTAAAAAAATTATTTTCTAATTTAAAATTTCACATTTAAAAAAATATTGTAATTATTATTTAATAATTATTTTTTATCTGCTTTTAGGGCACAGGATAGACAAATCCCATGATTAAGGTAAACCTTCCTCATATCCAAGGCCTCTTGGTAGCAAGGGGTATTCGTAGAGAGTCGAGAGCGAAACATGACAGTTTGGTTTCAACATGTAATTGGGCACAGGTCATGCAATGCCTATGAAAATCAACAACATCCCCAAAGCTATGGAACTCACATGGTAGAAGAACTATAGCAATACGATGGTGGAGTCTAATTCCCTGTTGTCAGTGCAAAAGATCAACCATGGTGCAACTTGTTTTGACCCATATGAAAGTTTAATCAACAAATGTCTAACCTTCCTCTAGGAAAATTAGTATTGTGAATTTTAACATGGTTTTTAAGAATTTGGTACGTGCGGCTACTATTATTTCATGATTCTTACCATTTGGGCATGAGTTTGGCATTGTTTTATTGAATCACCTATAAATGTTACATAAGGAATGACAAAAAGACCTCTTAAATATTTATATGTACGTGAAGCCTTTATATTAATTCTTTATATATGTCAAAAAAAAAAATGATGTATTAGAATATCTAGGATTTGTTTAGTATGAATGTGATTTTAAATTTTTGTTTTTGATTTTAAAAAATTTAGAAACTCAAAATAAAATTAAATAGTTCTATAAATTAATTAAGTTTAGAATTTTAGATATTTATTTTAAAATTTTATACCTAATAAGTGGGTAATTTTAATTTTTAATTTTAGTTTCTAATTGTTAATTTTGATTATTTAAATTTTGAAAACCAAAACCAATAACTCAAAATTCAAAACTACAACCAAACTAAATTGATGTTTAGTTAATGGATAATAACAAATCTACTTCCGCAATTACCATTTCTTCCAAACTATCTTTGAAACAAAATTCCTAAAAAAAAACATATATCAAATCATATATCATGGTGTGTTTATTTTATTTTTTTTAAAGGACCTATCAATTGTTGCTTTTAATTAATATAATTAATATAGATGGTTCTTCAGTGAGATCTCAAAGCCTCTCAGCAATATAGGGCATTTGCAAAGAGTCGGAAGAAACATGGCAGTTTAGTTTCAATAAGCAATTTGGGTCATATATAGGTCATGCAATGCGTGCGGAAATCTACACTATCTTTTAATTTTGCATGGCAAAATAACTATAGCAATGTAATAATAGAATCTAATTCCTTGTTAAATATACAAAAGGTCAACTATATGTGGTGCAACTCGTTTATATATGAAAATTTAATCAACAAATCTAGATCCTTTCTCGAAAAAAAAAATGGTACTATAAACTGTGACATTTATCTTGAGAAGTCAACAAATATGCATATGCCATGGCTTCATAGCTCTACCACGCAGGCATGGGTTAGTATTTTTTTTTTTTTTTTGAATTATTTTGAACGACAAAAGTAAGCTTATTTGAACTACGGAGTACAAGATTTTTATCCATAATGGTTATCTCATCCTAAAAACTCCTCAAATATGAGATTAGGAGGGAGAGGATAAATTTTTTATCCAATCCTACACTCCAAACACACCCTTAAAGAATAATATTCTTTCACCAGATCATCGTGTTCAAACGATGCTAAAGGTATACGTAATAAAATTAAAGGATTTACAAGAATTTTTTTTTTTTAACCTGACAACAAGAACAACGTTCAAATCTACTGATGTTTGCCAAACCACAAGCCTTCAATCGTTACGTATGCATGCAGGATTTAAAATCATTTCTATATTTCTCGAGAGTCGAGACTAATAAAACAATAATAGAAAATGATCATAGCATTTAATATTATTTCAATAAAAGACAAAACTTCTTATTTACACCTTTATTATTATTATTTTTGTATTCAACACCGTCTAATATTTCTAATATTTTTCCTCCGGATCAATGACTTGCATAATTCAAAACTAACGTAAACCCCAAAGGTTAACAGGCATGTGGAGTGCCACTGACGTGGGCGTTAAATTCCGTTAATGGTTGATGACTTGCGAAGCCTCTGTTAACTTGGATAAACTTTATCTGAGGTGGCTTTTTATTGACGTGGCACATGGGTCCCGCACTGGAATTTCGTTATAGTCCCTAAATTTATCAAATTTTGAATAAGATTGGTCCTTTTACATTGTAAATTTTAAACTAACTACCCACCTCAAAAGAAAACAAACTTTACCCATGTGAGTGCATTGATCTTTTCATCTTCCCAAGCTTATTGGTTTGAAAAATCAAAGTAAATTTGTTTGAAACGCATGACTGGGTTTTCTTGTTAAAGATCTGTTTTAAAACCAAAACATGACTTGAAGCAACACTAAAATTGTCATTAAATATTTTTACTGTTAAGATATTTTGTTTCAATCTCTGATTCAAATTCAACAAAGACAAGGCTAGAGACGTAGATTAAAGTGAAAAGAGAAGACATATAGTTCAAGAAACAGTGTGTGGTTTTGGGAGAGAAATAGGTCCAAACCCGATCCGAAGCTTGGCGGTCACATGGTTCGCTGAACGAAGGCGCCATTCAGACAGGAGGATCGTCAAGGCCCAAGCAAATAGACGGTGACATGACATCAAATCGATGAGAAACTGATCGCAAGAGTATAAAGCTAGAGCGAAGAGAATTAGAAAACGAGAAGAAACAAGATGAATCACCGGATATCACATGAGGAAGGTGCCCAAAAAAACCAGCGATGGCAGAAAGATCAAAAATGCTGCGAAAGAAAGGGACCAGAGCAGTTCGATTGGAGCTCACCCATTCTGATGTTATATGGGTTTCAAACCCATCTGCAAACCCTAGGTCTTCAATAGGGGGGAACTTGTTCCTTAAAACAAATTGAAGAGGACAGTTTAGTCCTTTCATCTTTTCAACAATTATTTTATTTTATTTTAAAATATTGTTGTTAGTTTTTTTTTTCTTGCTTCGGCCGGGATGACGTAGGTCAGTTAATTGGTGTGTTGGAAACCATGTCATAAAAATGGTTGCCACGTCATTAAAGGCATGTCCAAATAATGGCCAAAACAGCAAAACCATATAGGCTAATGGTACAGATATAATCTTTTTATATTATTTTTTATATAATTTTTA